GACCTAGACAAACAAGCTTTAACATTGTGTGTGTTTTACACTTTCCATTTTAAATCATCTGAAGGCTGGGAAGAAGTCATTCAGCAAATATTTATTGAGTACCTGCTATATGCCTGACTGTGTTCAAACATAAAGGCTAGAGCAGTGAACAGTACAAAAGATCTCTGCCCTCTTGGAACAGTCCACAGATACTAGGTTGTAACAAAGCCATAAGATAGAGTAAGAGTAAGGAATAGAGGCACCAGGCCACTGGCATGCATGGGAAGGAGTAGGGAAGGCCTCTCTGAAGTGGCCACATTGGAGCAGAGACCTGCTAAAGTGATGGAATGAGCCATGGGTGTTATGTTGGGAAAGCAGAGTTGAAGGAGATGTGAGGGTGGGAATAAAACTGAGGCCAACTTGGTGGCAGTTGAGTGACTGAGTAGACAACCAGGGAATATGAAGTTGGAAAGTCCCAAGGAGTGATGTGGTATGACTTTTGTTGTAAAATGAATCCTGGCTGCTCTAGTGAGACTATACTATGTGTATATGGGGGTGGGGGGCCGGACAGAATCAGGGATATGAGTCAGAAGCTGTTATAGTGGTCTGAGATGGACCAGATGGTGACCTGGATGAGGCTGTTAGCCTAAGTGTGAGAAGCAGTTGGTTCAGGATGGAGTTTCAAGGTTGAGCTCAAGATAATAAGATAATGTGTTATTAAGTGATATCCAAGCCAGGCATGGAGCAGGGAGTCCTAAATATTACTTCCCTTTTACTTCTTCTTGAAAAGTGGTCAGGATAGGATAGGCAAATGTATAACCACATCTGTAATGCCAACTATTTGTACGTTCTCTAAACATGTTGTGCACTATGTTTATAAACAATTTGGCATTTATTGGGCAGCTTATATGGGCTGGTCATCATCTTGGCAGAGTTATTAGTTTATTATGGGATAATAAAAAATCATTATAATGGCAAGCACTTAACATTTCTGTGTGCAGTTGGTTTTCTAGATACTTCACAACAGCCATATGAAATAGGTATTATTATTACTCCTACTTTCCTGATGAGGGGAAACCGAGGCCCGAAAAGGTTAAATACTTGTTCAGGCTCACAAAACTAGCAAGTAGAGGAACTGGGATTTAACTCAGTGTGTCCAGCTCCAAAATTTTGGTTTTGTACTGCACCATCCCACTTCTGTCGGTTACTATGGAATGAATGGAATATGATTAAATGCTCTTAAGTAGTAAATGCTCTAGGAATACAGAGAAGAGAGTTTTTTTGTTCAATAGAGACCTTGTAAAGGAAGTGGCATTTGAGTTAGACTTCAACTCGATTTTAGCTGTGGGGAGATAATGACGATAGGGATGGAAATAAATAATTATAATGGTGGAAGTGTATGTCTACTAAGCACTTAACATGCATGTACTAGGCACTGTTTTAACACTCAGTCTTCATCAGGACAGAGGTACCTTTGAGTGTTTCCATTTTATGGGTAAGGAAACGGACACACAGACACATGCCTGTGTTTACACTGCTAGGAAGTGGAGAAGGTAGGGTTTGCGCCTGATACCAGACTTAAGGGCAATTGTGTTAAGAGGGGCATTCCATCCTAGGGGAGGAGAGTGATGAGCTTAGGCTCAGGTGGGATGGTATAAAGTATATTTGGTGAATGTGAGGAATTTAAAACTGGAAAATTTTCTTGCACATCCCCAGTTATCTTTGGGGTGTGTTAACAAGTACAGATTTCTGGGCTTATTATCAGCCATTGTTGCTGGCCAGAAGATCCACAGATCAGTATCGTGGAGAGCCACTGAGCCAGGGCATAGCATGCATGCCCCTGTGCCCAGGTGGAGGCCAGAATATAGAGGGCTTTGATACCATTTTAAGGAGTGTACACATGGTAGCCTTTGATAGAATGGGCATGTCCATCTCTTTGCATCTGATGTGCATATGGGGTAGAAGCCTCTGCAGAAAGAACTGGATCTGTGAACACTCTTGAGTGGTCCGTTAAAAAATCTGGTGATTGGAGGATGGAGCTGACAAAGGCAGAGGATGATGGTAGGGCCTATGGAAGGGAGCCTCTTCCAAATCTTGAAAAGGAATCAAGTTCATGTTCAGCATGTGGAATGATAGCAGAGAGATGGTTTTGGGTATTTGGTGTATCCATCCTTGATTGAGCCACCCAGGAAGTGTATGTGTATACTCCAAGGGAAGGAAAGTGCGTTGTGTATGAAACATAAATGCGCACACACCGCAGAGCTAACTCTCAACCACTTCTATCCCTACCATCCTCTCCTGTCTCTTAAACATGTCCCAAGCACTTTGCAGAGTTCTAGGATTCCAGTTATACATGTGTATGAAGAAAGGAGGGATCCATTGTATTTTAAGAGGTTGAAATACCTTCACAGAGGAGGTAATACCTGCCTGCCTATTCAAAATTTTAAATTGTGCATAGGATTTTCCAAAATGTTCAGATTTGCAGGCAGATGGAGCATATGCCAGAGATGTGGGGCTATTAAATGGTTTGTTGCCTCAGGAATGATAATTAACAATAATGAGCTAAAGTGAACAACGAGGCTGGCAGCATGTTTGGCATGGTTGAAATTGAGACTGGAGCTGGTACACAGGAACACCTACCTTGCAGTAAATAATGGGAGGTATGGTATCTGGCACATAATTGCTGTTTACATCAGTAGTAGCTGCTATTATTGTTATTATTAGACTGAGACCGGACTGTGGTAGGACATGGTAACAAGCTTAGACTTTATCCTGTTGATTAAGAGGGATGTGCTAAATTTGAATTTTCAGTAGCTCACTGATACATGGAAGCCGGGCTGAGGGATTTGTTTAGAAACTGTTATAATCTATAATCTATAACTGTTATAGGCAAGAGATCTAATGAGCATCTGAACCATAGCAGGGGCAGTGAAGACAGAGGAGTGTATTAGTCAGTTTGGGTTGCTGCAACAAAATACCACACACTGTTTGGCTTTAAAAAAAATAAAAAAATAAAAACACAGACTTTTTTTTCCCCTCACATTTCAGGAGATGGGGAAGTCCAAGATCAGGGTGTTAGCCAATTTGGCAATAGTTATTTCCATTTGTGATGTGAAAAAAAAATAATAACGTATTTATAAAATAATTGTGTAGAGCAAGAGTGGTATATTTGAGCATTAGTTTTGTATATAGTGTTGAGGTTTAGCTTTCTACTTTTTTTGTCCTGACATTTTGTCATTTTGAGTGTGACAGAGGGATACCTTATTGTCAAAGTCATTTCCTGCCCTGCATCTCTTGTTTGTATTTTTATTTCTCTGCTTCTGCGGTGCTGCCTGAGTACAGTATGTGCTTTCCCTTTCTTCACATACCTGTGTGTCTGTGTTTGCTGATATTTTTAAATAGTCGAGGCAGTAGCTTTTGGGTGACTGTCAGAGAAGACATGCAGTGTCTGAGTTGTGCCTTTTGGAGAGCTATTTTGATTTGTGATTTCCAGAGACAGTGCATCAACACTCATTCAGATCAATTTACCTAGGTGGGGAGTGTCTCCTTTTGTTATTTCAGCATATGTTATACATGTTCTGTACTTTTTTCTTCTTACTGAAGCATAATATCCAGAAACGTGCACATATCCTACGTTTTCACAAACTGAACCCAGTCGTATAAACAGCACCTAGATGAATTGACTTTTTAAAAAATTTAAGGATGTTGTTTGGGAGAAAAGTGAACATACGTGAATCTGCTGCTTATAAAGGAAATGTGATCTTTAAACTTTTTCCTTTTCCTTTCATATTTATTTCCTATTATCTAATGTATTTAAGAATTAACTATTCAAGTAGTCTTGTATATCAATATTGTACATAAAATGCTATTGCATTTTTTTTTTTAAAGATTTTATTTGAGAGAGAGAGAGAGCACAGGGGTATGGTGAGGGGGAGCAGCAGAAGGGGAGGAAGAAGCAGACTCACTGCCAAGCAGGGAGCAGGGTGTGGGGTGTGGGGCTTGAACCCAGGACCCTGAGATCATGAGCTGAACTGAAGGCAGATGCTTAACCGACTGAGCCATCCAGGCGCCCCAGATGCTACTGCATTTTTGAAATGAAAACTCTTGACCTGAGAAAAATGTTTAACTGTGCTTTTTAAGAGAGTCTGTGAAGGAAGTGTGTTAAAGGGGAAAGTTGTTCATAGCTAGTTACTGTTAAGAGAAATCTAAAATTTGGAAATCAAAAGACTCTACAGCATGTTCTTTCAATGCCTTGTGTGGGGGGTGTTGTTTAACAGGCCCACCCTAGGGGTATTTAATTCTCATCTTGTGCTCTACTTTCTATTTACTGTCTAGTTAGAGCCCAGAACAGGGAAGTTATCTGTTAGCATATAGATTTTTGTCTGGTAGATAACCCCAAAGGTTATGGTTTTATTGCCCTGTAGGACATTAACCAGTTTTTTAAATCTAAACTACCTTAGTCTAACACTTAAAAAAAAAAGAAGTCTTTTCTGATGGGCTATCTATACCTGTACCATAAATGCTCTTGGAACTAACCTTACCATCTTACTGGTTCTCTCATTAATGTGTTGAATACATTATTTGACACATGTTCATTTTATATTTGTGGGAAAGTCATTTTTACCTGTTTTGAAAATCATTATTGGATACTACCATGGCATTTCTGTCCTATACTTCCACACTGTACCTAGGAACTGACTTCCTAGGGCAGGCACAGTAATGCCAAAGATTCTAAATTCTGAGTGAGCCAAAGTAATTATCCTCATTTCTGTTTCTTCAGAGAAAGTTTATAAGGTAAAACTAGGTTTTACTAACTAAAATGTCCTAATAAATGAATATTCTTTTTTTTTTTTTTTGCAGGCTTAAGCACATAAGATATTCACTGTGAAGAAAATAACATTTTGAGACATTTTTCTGTCGCAAGTGATAGAGGAAAAACTAATACAGAAGTGCACTCTCCTGTGTGTGTGTACCTCATTGTACTGCTTTTGATATATCAGCTTAGTAATGAAGCCACCATTATGTCCTCAGTCAGTGAAGTAAATGTTGATATCAGAGATTTCCTAATGAGCATTAATTTGGAGCAGTACCTCCTACGCTTCCGCGAGTTTGGTTTGAATACTGTGAAAGACTGTGTAGCAGTAAATGATGGTGTACTACACAAAATTGGAATATCACCTACAGGACACCGAAGGAGGATACTGAAGCAGTTACAGATAATCTTGTCAAAAATGCAAGATATCCCAATATATGCAAATATCCATAAAACAAAGAAGGACGATGAGACTTCAGAGGATCGCCACGCTCCATCTTCTGGTCAGAATACCTCCACAGAACCTTCCGATATGGGTGGTGTGCAGGCACCTAGCCCGACGCAGTGGGAGACTGTTACCAAAAATCTTGACCGAAACGATGTTAGTGTAGAAAATAGCCAGTCTTTTAAATCAGATGATAAGCTGTCTCTTCTTAAACACAACTTTCCTGTTCCAGAAGAAGAACAACACCTGAATTTGAGTTCTTTCCAACATACTTCATATGGTAATGAAAATATTAAAATAGAATCTTTGATTACAGAGAAAACTATGGATTGCACAGTTGAACCACAACAAGCAAAAAGATTTGATTTGATCTCAGAAGATGCGAGTAAGCTTCCTGATGTAGATCCTGAATGCCTTTCTTCCCTTGGCTGTTCCATATCGGAGGCAAATTCTGGAAGTGGAACTAATGGTTTAACAGAAAGATCACCACCATCCCCATTCTTTCAATTTCAGGGAGAAATGGTTGTAAATGATTTATATGTTCCATCATCTCCAATCCTAGCACCTATGAGAAGCCGTAGCAAGTTGGTTTCAAGACCATCTCGGTCTTTTCTGCTAAGACATCGGCCTGTACCAGAGATTCCAGGGTCAACAAAAGGAATTTCAGGGAGGTAAGAATTTTTATGAGCTATAAGTATTCAATTTGGGGGAATTTAGTTACTTTTAATACATATTTTTAGTGTTTGTAAATTCGACTTAAGTTGCCTACTCAACCTTTTTTTTCTTCTTTTAAAACTAGAAAATGCTATTTATTTTATATACTATTTCCCAGGTCCTATTTCCAACTTATAACTGCCTGGGACTCTAATTTTCTCCCATGTAGTTGGGGGAAATTCCCTTCAATTTTATCTGGCCGTTCCTTCCCATACCTTCCTTCACACTTGGTATTATATTCTTCCACGAGTGCAATTCTCATACTAGAATTGCTGATTCTGTCTCCCCACTGGATTCTTTGTTCTTTGGCAGGGGCCACCTTTCTAATGTGTATATTTCTACTGCCTGACACAATGCGTTGGCGTGACTTAATAATTCAGGACACATCTAAGGAGCCACCTGCTTGGGTGCTGGTCACTGCGCTAAGTGCAAAGGAGGTAGGGAGGAATAAAGGCGCTTGAGGTATTGTGTAGGAAACAGATATAAAAACATGGTCACAGTACAGTGCAAAACCAGGTTCACTCGCATCAGAATTCTAAGGAGGGGCCCCCCAGCATGTTCTGTTGGTCGTTCCTTTGAGGTAACTGCCGGGTCTAAGAGCTGACTTAACGGCAGAGCAAGCTTTCATCCCTTTCTCAAAGTTACACCTAAAATAGTTGTGGTTTTCTTCAGGATTGTGGTAGGATTCTTTTTTTGTCTAAAAGCTAACACTTGTCTCTCTGCTGGGAGTCCTGAGGTGGTTCGACTGTTAACTGCTATGGTACTAAATGCAATTACGGATTTCCTGCACAGGCTCTTGCCTGGCATTTCTGCAAGATCCTCCTGCCCTGCGTGCATCCACTCTGTCCCTACTGCTGGTACTTTTGTCCTAGGGTATTGTGGTAATTATTGTGCATGATCCTGGTTGTGTTTGCAGGAGAAAATGTGGTAGTTTAGTATTTGCCAAAGAAAATGTGGCAATTTACAGGACTGTTAATTTAAGAACCTCTAATTAGAACATACACTCTTTGAGGGCAGAGAGCCTAGTTTGTCTTTGTGCCAATAGCAATGTCTAGTCTTTCCTTGGAAATCAGTAGTAATAGTGTAATTTATTAAACACCTGAGGTTTCAGTTTGGTTTATAATTTCCCGTGGGTTATCTAAATCTCACAGTGGCTCTGTGACACAGGTATTATTAATTCATCCATTTTCTTATGAGGTAACTGAGCCTTGGTTCATTTTTCCAGGATCACATGAGTGGTAAACTGGAGTTTCATTCCATTACATCAGACTCCAGAACACACTCACTTTCTTAACTGCTCATTTAGTAAATATTCTTAAAAATGTGGATTGCATATAGGAGAAAGTATTAGCTATATATGTAGAAAATGACCAATTTTGTATGACACTTTAGTTTTAAAACGTTTTGCTAATTTTTTTTTTTTTTTAAGATTTTTTATTTATTTATTTGACAGAGAGAGAGAGCGAGAGCAGGAACACAAGCAGGGGGAGTGGGAGAGGGAGAAGCAGGCTCCCCGCAGAGCAGGGAGCCCGATGCGGGACTCGATCCCAGGACCCTGGGATCATGACCTGAGCCGAAGGCAGACGCTTAACGACTGAGCCACCCAGGCGCCCGACGTTTTGCTAATTTTAAACAAAAGGAAGTAACTGAGAAGGGTTTGCTTTGAGTACACACATTAACAGTGTATCTTTGCCAGAACAGAATCCTTTTGGGAGGGATAACTTCAGATAAGAAACACTTGGCTTAAGTGTTAAACAAGATGTGCTATTTTTCATACATTTTTGAGAATCTTTTGGTGTTTATTCAGTTGTAAGTGTAAATAAGCTGTGTATCATTTGAAAGTCTTATTCACATTATTTGTGTGTATGAGTCTTTGAAAATGAAAATTGAAATAATGTTAAAATTATTCGTAAATAACTTAGTACTGGTTGCTTCATAACCCTGTCAGATTATCCCTTGTAACCTTTCTTCTCTGATTATGGTGGTAAATGGTACCTATGTATCTATGGTGCTCATATCATAAAATGAGAAAGTAAACTAAATTATTTTCAGACTTCAGTGTGTTTTTCCTTGTGGTCCTGGCCTGAATTGCAAATAATAATTTTGCAAGATTTTAAAAATGTTATATGACTTTAAAAAGAAAACTGTGGATTATATAACCTGAGATTGTAATCAGATTCACATCTAAATGATATTTTAGTACATTTCTTGATGTACCAAATAAAATTTTTTTTTTTGTGGCCAATGCTGTTCACATAATTCCTAGTATTACTATTTAACTAGTAAATAGTTAAATATTTCATGTATCTGTTAAAAGGTATAGATGTTGGATGTGTTATCCTGGTGTGAGGCCCTTTGTTTCTCTCTCCCTGGACACGAATTCCTACCCCCTGCTTCTTCCCTCCTTATTTATCTGACACTGTTGACTCCTGGTCACATGGATTATTTTTGTCCTTGCCTTGAGTTTCCCCTGAATTCCTCCTGCTCCTAGTCTCGGGAAGGCTGGGCTGGGTGGGAGTATGGACAGTGAACCTTAGAATCTCTTTTTAATCTTGAAGAGCCAGCTCTTCCCTTATCAGCTTCACCTGGAGATCTCTTATCGAGGCCTCCAAGCTGAAAGGAAGTTCCAGCATCTTGTCCTTCCCTGGGAGCCACAGGTGTGACCTGCGGTCCTTCCTGGAGGACCCTCATCAGTCTGCCAGGCGGGAAAGAGCAAGTATCTTTCAGCCACTGAAGAGGTACCTTTCTTACCCTCCTTCCCAGTTTCAAGATTTTCATACATCTTTCATGCAACTATTTTATCCTTGGCATAAGTCCTAAAGCCCTCTCTTTTAGGTATTGTGCCTCTCAGTGTTTTGAGGGAAGGGAAAATAAGCAGAGATGGGGGAAGGAGGATGATACGCAGGGCTGCACTGTGATCAGAGGACGTCTGTTACAATTTAAGACTGAGCTACTGTATTGACGGGGGGCCTTTTAAAAGTTTGAAATCTAAACCTGAAGTGTCCAGGCTTCTTTGGACTTTTTATTAAAAAATAGCAATCTTAGATATTTTTCTCTGGATATACATAGACATGATACGGACATTAGAAATGGGTAACACTATGTTAGACTTTAATGTTGGAATATATCTGAGCAGAAAATGTACAGGAAAGTAATAAGCAATTGTTGGGTACATCGAATAGGAAAAATACAGAAACTCATCCTGTCTTTCTCATGTTCAAGAAAAACTGCATATTTCATGTTATAGCAAAAAAATGCTTAGCAATCCAAAATTCCTTATTTTCTTTTAAAATACCTTAAATTCTGTGAAAAAAATAGGCTTATTATTTCAGTATTTGCAAAATTTTGACTTAGCTAAATAACAAATCAAAATTTAATTCATGGTTTGATTTATTCTTAGAGGATGATGTGTGCTCCATACTTTTTATAAGTAAAAAGACATTAGGTTTATACTTTATTTTTCATAATTAAAAAAACACCACTTTGAAAAAATAAAATTTTTGTTTTTGCTTAGCAGATGGTGTAATATTAGTTTCAGGTGTAGAATAGAGCGATTCAGCCCCTCAGTACAACACCTGGTGCTCATCACAGCAAGTGCCCTCCTTAATCCCCCTCACCTGGTTAACCCATCCCCCCACCCACCAACCTTCTGGTTACCATCAGTTTGTTCTCTGTAGTTAAGAGTCTGTTTCTTGGTTTGCCTGTCTCTTTTTATTCCCCTTTGCTTCTTAGTTTTGTTTTTTAAATTCCACAATGAGTGAAATCATACGGTATTTGTCTTTCTCTGACTGACTTGTTTAGCATAATACTTTCTAGTTCTATCCATGTCCTTGCAAATGGCAAGATTTTGTTCTTTTTTATGGTTGAGTAATATTCCATTGTGTGTGGAACTACCATTCTTTATCCATTCATCAGTCACAGGACACTTGGGCTCTTTCCATAATGTGGCTATTGTTGATAATGCTGCTATAAACATCGGGGTTTCATGTGTCCCTTTGAATCAGTATTTTTGTATCCTTTGGGTAAATACCTAGTAGTGCAATTGCTGGGTTGTAGGGTAGCTCTATTTTCAACTGTTTGAGGAACCTTCATACTGTTTTCCAGAGTGGCTGCACGAGTTTGCATTCCCACCAGCACTGCAAGAGGTTCCCCTTTCTCCACATCCTTGCCATCACTTGTTTGTTCTTGTGTTGCCGATTTTAGCCATTCTGACAGATGTGAGGTGACATCTCATTGTAGTTTTGATTTATATTTCCCTAATGAGTGATGTTGACCATCTTTTCATGTGTCTGTGGGCCATCTGGATTATCTTCCTTGAAAAAATGTCTATTCATGACTTCTCATGAAAAAATATATTTTGAGCTGCAACTTTTGCTAGTTGATTAAAAAAATGAGAATAATGATGTAGATTTTTGTGTTGCAATCCTTCTGTAATTATCATTATTCTTATCCTAAGGACATTTTTTGGAACTTCTTGGATTGAGACTTAATTATCTGTGCATTGTAAATTTCACATTCTTGGTCTGTGCTGTTGTAGTACTCATATTTTCTGAAATCAGATTTGTGTGTTTTAGTTAGAAATTATATAACCTCAAGGCAGTTTTAAACTGATGCCTAATGATTGTGGTTTTCTTCTGAATTCAGTTCTGTAATGACCTGTAGTTAGTCTGTTATGAATTGCAAGAATTGCATTTTTTAAAAACATTCTGTGAAATGATGGTCCATATATGGTGTGTAATTATTTTTTGGTGTGACTGCCTTCTCTAAGTAACAGGTAAGTATAGATCCTAAAGGGAGATCTTTAACATTAATTAACCTTTATAGCACTGCTTTTCTTGGTAATTTTAGTGATTAAAACATATATGAAAAAATAACATCTGCAGGCATGCTGAAGATCTACTTTAATAATCAGAGTTATTTTTTTGCAACTTGGTGTTTTACTTAATATTTTTGAGATTTGTCCACATTGATGCACATATTTTATGCAGTAACTGCTGTATAATATTTTACAAAAAACAAACAAACCCACAGTTTATTCCCTTACTAGGTTGTTGACATGTTTTCTCTATCACAAATGAAAAATGTGAATACTTTTAAGGACTTTAAGAAACAAATGTGCACATAAAGTTTACTGGGAGGACCAACCATTTTTTTTCTCTAATACAAAATAATAATTGGTTCATTCTTGCTGAGTGTTTATATTGTGAAGGGCACACTTTAAGTGCTTTGGAAGCACTTTCTCATGAACCCTCATAATATTCCTAGGAAGCAGGCCCTGTTTTTATTCCCCTTCGATAAATGAGGAAACCAGGCTCAGGACTGTTAGGTAACTTGACCAAAGTCACAAAAGGATAATTAAAAGAGAAGGTGATAACTACTGCCTTTCTGTATGGGTTTTTAATTTTTGTAAATCAACCATGCTTTATATTTCAAATTTAAAAGCAGTCTACAGTTTTTAGGATAAATGGTGGGAAATCAAAAGGGCAGAAAAGCTATCTGCAGTTTTTAGGATACATGATGGGAAATCGAAAGGGCAGAAAGAGCCTCTTATTAGCTGTGGGACGTGGGCTGGGAGACCCTCCTTTCTTTATTGGTGGGATTAGGACACGAGGTCCTACGTCATAGGGCTGTTATGAGGATGAAAGAGGAGATGCAGATATATAAATTCCCACCATAATGCTTTGGGCATAATAGGTTTTATAATATAAAATAGCTTGTGATAATTTATTCATAGATAAACGAGAATATAAATTACTGATCACTGATTTTCGAAACAACTTTTTTTTCTGTATTGAGCTAATCTTTCATCAACAGTCGATCAAATGAAGTTGGTTGATAGATTCGGTAATTGCTTGCAGGTGGATATTTAGTACAAGAATCAATTAAAATCACAAACATTCTTCTTCACATTTCATATGGGTGATAGTAAAACCAGCAAAATATGCTTTAAAACACCACTAATAGATATACTTAAAATTATTCTAATTCCTTTTTAAAATGTTTTCAGTATATGTAAAATATTGTAACTTTTCATTAATTTATTAAATATATATATTTAATTTTCATTTTTGGTTTTTGTAGTCTATTCAAGACACATTTGTGTACTCAAAGGTTGCAAAGATTTTCTTGTGTTTATTTACAGAAGTTTTAGAGCTTTAGCATTGACCTGTAGGTCTAAACTCCATTTCAAGTTAACTTTTGTTTATGGTATGAAGTAATGGTTGGTATTCACTTCTTTTTTCCATTGAGAGAACCAGTTGTTCTTGCAACATTTGCTGAAAAGACTATCCTTTCCCCATGGAATCGCCTTGACATCCTTTTCAAAAACTGGTAGACCACAGATGTGTGGGAGTTATGTGGTATTTTTATTCTGCTCTATTACTTCATGTGCTTAACATTTCGCCAGTAACACTGATTTGATTGTTATAGGTTTAGACTAAATATTGAAACTGTGTAAATCTTCCAGTTCTTTTAAATATTTATTGGACCATTCCAGGTTATTTATATGTGCATGTAAATTTTAGAGTCACCTTGTCAATTTCTATATAAAAGCTCACTGGAGTTCTGAGATTATGTTGACTGTGTATGTCAATATTTGGAGAATTGGTATCTTAGCAATATTGAGTCTTCCAGTCCATTAACATGGTATATCTCTTTATTTTGGTCTTTAATTTTTCAGTGTTATATGGCTTTCAGTGTGCAGATCATGTTTTGATCTATTTTACCGCTTAGTATTTCATGTTATGGGTATTATTATAAAAGTTGTATTTCAAACTATTTTTCCAGTTGCTCAATGCTAGTAATTAGAAATACTGTTGAATTTGTTAACATTTCCCCCTTATCGTGGGACCTTGCTAGACTTGTTAATTTAGGAATCTTTTTGGTAGGTTCCTTAGGATTTTCTACTTAATAGATACCTTCTGCTTATAAGAGATCATCCTTTCCAATGTGCATGCCTTTTTCTTTCTTTCACTTACATTGCACTGGTGGGGACCTCTGAAATAATGTGAATGTAAGTGGTGAGAGCAGACCTCCTTGTCTTTCTCTTAATCTTAAGAATAACCATTCAGCCTTTAACATGAATTATGGCGTAGGTTTTCCATAAATGCCCTTTATTAGGTTGAGGAAGTTTCCTTCTCTTCCTAGTTTACTGAGAGTCTTTGTCATAAATGGATGTTGTTGAATTTTGTCAGTTGGTTTTTCTGGGTCTATTGTTATGAAAATGTGATTTTTTTTCTCTTTTCTTAGTTTGGTGAATTACATTGATTTTTCCCGTGTTAAACCAACTTTGCTCTCCTGGGCTAAATCTCATCTGGTTATAATATATTATTTGTATAGGTTGTTAGATTTGATTTGCTAATATTTTGTTAATGAGTTTTGCATCTGAGTTCATGAGGGATATTTCTCTAACAGTTATCTGTAGTTTTGTTTTTGACTGGCTTTGTTATCTGTAGTACTGACCTTATGGAATGAATTGGGAAATAGTCTCTCCTTCCCTATTTTCTGAAAAAGTTCACATAGAATTGGTATTATTTCTTCCTGATATGTTTGGTGGAATTCATCAGTGAAATGTCTCAGCCTAGAGTTTTTTGTCGGTACGTGACTAGTTACTAATTCAGTTTGATAGATACAGGGATATTAAGATTTTTATTTTCTTTATTATATTTGATAATTTATGTCTCAGATAATTTTTCTATTTCATCTAAGTTGTTAAATTTATTGGCATAAACTTTTTTTCTTAATAATCTGTAAGTATCCCTTTAATGTTTGTAGCATTTGTAGTGATGTCCTCTTTCATTCCTGATACTGGTAGTTTCTGTCTTGCTTTCATTTTTCATCCCTGAGGTTTATCAGTTTTATCAATCTTTTTGAAAAACCATCTTTAGTTACAATGATTTTACAATTTTGTCTATATTTTATTTTGTTGGTTTCTATTCTTTTTTTATATCCTTGCTTGTAATTACTTGGGCAGATACATATTTAAGAGACATTAAGGACACTCTCCTGATACTTACATTTAGATGGATTTAAAAATAGAACTCTTTCATATAGTAGTGGATTTTCATTGCAGCTGTTTCCACAGTGTTTTCTTTCTCTGTCATTATTATTATGTTGTATTCTAATTAATTTACCTGAAATCTTTCTCTCCCAGGACAGCAAATTTTTTAAGAAAAGGTCTTGTGTATTTTCATACTATGCTCATAGAGTCAACAAGTTTTTGACTCAATATTGTAAAGCTAATGACAAAATAACCACATAAATACTGAAATCTAGTTAGAAAATTTGTTTCTCACAAGGGTATGGCTAGCAGTTTTGAAATTCCATTGTGCATACTAGCATTGGGTAACTATATTCATTTACTTTTGTGAATTATAAATGTAAGGGCAAATGCTTGTAAGATCCAGTGAAGTCTCTTTAAAGCTACTTAGAAAAACATTTATGGAATTTAGCCGTTCTTTTTAATTAAAATAAACTTTATTTTTGAATAGTAGTTGTTTCTACCCAGCAGAATGCATGTTTCTATAATTAATCCTTTACTCAAGATAGTAATTTACTTATTTTTGCTTATCTGTTTTATCTATTTCCCCTCTTTGCTTTAAGCTATTTCCGTGAGAGAAGAAATGTTGCTACCTCAGCTGGAAAGTCTGTGACACAGGAAAGTGAGTCTCTGCCTTTAAAGTCTTTGTAAATTAGCACTCATTTGACAGTCCTAAATGTGTCAAAATTGTGATAAAAAAAGCAGCCCACCTGTGGAACCAGGGAATGATGTCTGCTAGGGTTCATAATACCTCAGATGCTTTTAAAGACGAGTGAATAAAAGACAGTAATATGTATTCAGACTCCTGAAAACCTGCACATACTAATGTAAAAAGATTTTTTTGCACTATTAGCCACAGTCGAAGGCATTTAACTAAATTAATTGGTTTCTGACTGAGCTACAGGACAGATTTATCGAAAGTAATTTTGCTATGGTAACTGGAAAGGGCTGACATTACTTTGCTAAATTCATCGACAGGCTTTTCTTTCTTTTTGAAAGTTCTGCTTATGTAAGTTCAGGAACATTCTTCTTAACATAAGGTGGTGAACACTTGGTTACTGACCCTTTAAAAAATTTTTGCCATAACAAAATGCAAGTGTTGAGAATTCTTGTAGATCTGTGTATTTCAAGGACAGTGGACATTCTCTTGAAATAACTTATTTACAGGTGTGTTAGTGGTTGTTATGTTAGATTATATTAAGTGGATCCTGGTAGTTTGATACAATATCTAGCTCTTATGTTAGTGAACTTTCAATAATTCAGTTACTGAAAATTATAGATCTAATACTAATTTTCTGCCATTAATACTATTATTCTCTTGTTTAGGAATTAACGTTATAAATGGCATCATGACTATTTGCATCATATGTGGGAAATGTGCTTAGTTATGTTAATATGGATCTTAGAGGTTAGCAAGGACATATATGACACATCACATTTTAGGAAACTGAGTAATGTGTCTTGGTCGTGAAGTGAGAGGCATACACAGCGAGTTCTACATCAAGAAGACCCTGGGAAGAGTTGATTTGGGGGTGAAAATTATAAGCATAATTTTGGACTCAGAATAAAGCTTAAGTTGTGCTATTGCTATAAAATAATTAAACACTTGACTTTTTAAAAAGTAATATTTCACATTATTCACATCTTTTCATTCTCATCCTGTCATTTCCCCAGAAGATTCAAATGAGGAAAATTCATCTTCCATTTTTCCTTATGGAGAGACCTTTCTCTTCCAGAGACTAGAAAATTCCAAGGTTAGTTCCATACATTTTCATTTTTTTTCCATATTCAAGTCTTTGCTTTTTTGTCTATATAGCGTCTTCATTTTCATTTAAAGTGTTTGAAGAACGAGTTATATTGAAGAAAGACATTTCCAGTCAGTAAAATTCTGTTCAGTAAAATAATGGTAAATGTGTATCTTTAAATATATTTCACAAAAACATGTTCAATTTCAGGAATACAAGAGGGGAGGTTTTCAGAATTTTCCAATTTTCAGAATTTTCCAAAAGATGAGTTACTTTAAAGCCAAACCCCAGAGAAAGCAAAAGCAAACAAACAGAAATCCCCTCGATTTTGCTTTGCCTTATACCCAAATATCTAATTCTAACTATACATCTTAATTATTCAGTTTATCACCTAGCCTTTCCTCTTGTGCTCTTTTTTTGTATTTTATTTCTTGGTCACAATAAAAGAGAAGTTGGAAGACAAAAAGTGACAAAGTAAAAGTAAATAAATTTTGTCCTTGGTTGGCATCTTCTGTTTTTCTTGGTTGAAATGATGAATTATTAATGATTTAAGTATAATATTGAAAAAGGCATCAAATATCGTCTCCCTAATTAAGTTGTTTTTACTGACAATTGATCTAAGCAGTTAGACATTTATGTAAGAAACTAAACTCAGATGTTGTGGATATTTGCAGAATATTGCTATCCTAAAAAAAGTGTATATATATCCTAAAAATATATATATATATATTTTTAATAGAAGAGGTCTATAAAGAATGAATTTTGGACCCATGAAGAAACACTCAAAGGGGAAACAACTACTGAAAGAAACTCTTTTCTCATCAGATCAAGGTATGAGGTCATGATTGATGATGATTAATTCTTTTGAATAAAATGTTATACAGTGTTGGCTTCTTGCTCATACTATATTTCTAAGAAAATAGTTTACATTTGGTAAGTTCAAATCTTTCCAGATGTTTTAGTAATGGCACTTATTTTAATAATTGAATTTAGAATCTGTAAATCGGGTACATAGTTATATTCTGCAGCAGTTTATATTTGTTTTCCTAATTGAAACCACTCTTTCTGTCCCAAAGTGGCAGATATGTGGTGACCCCAACTGCACATTAAAGATAGGTTGGTTTGAAGGAGAAAGAGGCAGTGCAAAAGATATTACTGAGGTGCAGCATTTTTATAAATGTAATATATCCTTTTTATTGGAAGTTCAGCATTGACAAGTAGCTTAACAGTTATCCAGTTATTTGGATCACACATTCAATTAAACAGTTTATGAGGCACCAACTTAAATTTTAGTTTTCTCAGCTTTATTAGGACTTGGTATACTGCATCATTACCTAATGTTCATTTCATTTTTGATTTTTATCCTTCCTTTTCCAAGGCTGACACTGTTATGTGTTTTTTTTCTTTCTTTTTTTGGCGGGGGGGAAGGGAGGGGGGGTGAACAGGGAGAGGGAGGGAGAAAATCTTAAGCAGTCTCCACGTCCAGCGCAGAGCCTGATGTGGGGGTTCAATCTCATGACCCTGAGATCGTGACCTGAGCTGAAATCAAGAGTTAGACACTTAACCAACTGAGCCACCCAGGTGCCCCAGTTGTGGGTTTTCTTAAGTTGAAATTAAATAATTGAGGACCTTCAGTTAGCATTTGATATGAATGTGTTCTAATGCAAAATGTGGAAAGGGTCAGGTGAAATCATTCTTTTAAGGAAGTAATAGTTTTTAGAACACTATATCCAGAAGGATGTAATTTGAGCCCTATGCTTATTTATTTCATCGATTAGCAAAAACTTCTTTGCAATGAGTTTTATTATACATAAATGAGTGAATCTGTTTTGTCATTCCTTAAGTCTATAGCAATATGCTTAGCTATTAGGAATGTCTTCCAGTGAATATTATAGGTTACACAGCTTTTACCTTCTGATCGTACCGACTCTCATTTTCTGGCCAACAGTGTGGTGCAGTTTTTCCTCATTAGTGTTGCAAAATAATGCAAAAGCTTTCACCAGTTGGATATACTCCCTGTTTTCTTACATTATGATGGAACATAGGATTCTTGGAATTGAATAGTAGAGAGCCAGAGAAGGGCAACAAGTTTGGAAGTAAGATCTCCAAATAGATGAGGTGGTGTTTCACAATGTTGCCCCAGGACTAGAGGTTGGGCCGGCTACATAATGGTGTTGGTGAAGATAAGAAATCGTGATGCAGGGAATATGGTCAGTCTCCACCCTTACTACCAGTCTGCACCCAACCCCCTAGAATAAACAGTTCAGATTAATGACATGTAAGAAAAATGATACTACTTGTAGCAGTGTTCAAATATGTCTTAGTGTAATAAGAGATTTCTATTTAAATTTTCTGGAAGAATTTTAAAAATTATCAGATGGATTAACTGAACTCCTAAGAGTTTTCTGACCTTTAATTTCTGTGATTTCAGGGCATGTGGGTGGCTTATTCAGTTATGCGTCGGTCTCTTGGTTTTGGTGTAGGTCTTGATCTCAGGGTCTCATGATTAGGGTCCTGGGATTGAGTCCCACCTGGAGCTCCATGCTCAGTGGAGATTCTGCTTCTCTCTCTCTCCCTCGCTCTCTCCCCCTCCCCCTGCTCACATGCCTGCATGCATGCACACACATGTGCGCTCTTTCTCTCCAAAAATAAATCTTAAAAAATTTTTCTTTGATTTGTTTTTTTAATTTACAAAGTAACCAGTGGCTTAAATGACATATGGCACTTTGAAATGTTAACACCATTTATTTCCATTTAGCCTATATGATAACAAAGAGGAGAATATAAGTGACGACAAAGTGGAAGATATTTGGATACCTCGAGAGGACAAAAGTAATTTTCCAGTAGACTCTGCTTCAGAATCAGAATATTCAACAGTAGAAGAATGCTTTCAGAGCTTAAGAAGAAAAAACTCAAAGGCATCTAAATCTAGGACTCAGAAAGCATTGACTATAGACCCCGTCAATAGGCACAGTTATCCATTAAGCTCAACAAGTGGAAATGCTGAGTCCTCGATCGTTTCCTCAAATGCAATATCTCCCTATGCCTGTTTTTATGGATCCTCTGCAAGGAAGGTTAAATCGGGATGGCTAGACAAACTGTCTCCTCAAGGGTATGTAGTTATTCATTTTTCCCCCCTAAGTAGCATATTTTTTAATAGTTCAAGTTTACCCATTTCTAAACTTGTCTAGGTTGCTGCTACTTCTCACCCCTCCCCCACCTCCCCTCACACAGATAAAATTTTTAGGGACTTTCAGTGAACTTTTGCAAATGCTGTTCTTCAGTCATAAGGAGGAACATGTGCAATGTGCAGTGTAGTATGTGGAATGCTGGGATAAAGTTCTGAATAGCAAATTGAAACTGAAAGTTGCAATTTCATGTCTAGATCCTTGATGTCAGTTTCTAACTTTACACTAAAGTGCACTGTGTCTCAATTTGTAGCAAAGAAAAACAATACAGATTGAGTTGGTATTACTAGGCCCACACTGTTTGGCTTTTGCTCATATTATAACAGTGTTCTGTTTGGGAATACAAGTCTTAATTGTAGTTAGGGAAAGTACATCATTGTTAGATTTCGGGCTTCACTGTTACTGATATATTGTTTTGATTTTTGTATGTTGCACAGAAGGTCAGAGTCCCTTGAATATTATACTTTTAAAACAGATTTATCATTTCAGATGTTTACAGAGAAACTTATGTCCTTTAAGGGTCTTACAGTACTGAGAAATATTTGGGGGAGGGATTGTGTTTAGTTAGAATTGTTTTCCAGCATCATGATTTTTGAATGTCTTTTTGAAATATTTACTTGAAATATTCCTCATGAATTATTAAGTTATTTTGGGATTAAATCTTTTGTGTTTAAATAGTTAATGTGGTGAATCCCTGCAATGTGCTGGTTTTCTTTGTTCCCCCTAAAATGTGTATCATTTCTAGAAAGCCTTGGTTGGACCTAAAATAAATTTTATTAGCAGAAAATTACCTGAAGAAGCATTAGTTGACTAGTGGGTAGCAGACATTATGTTTCTGAAGAAAGTGAAAAAAAAAAAATCCCAATACTTTTATGGTTAGTAATTATATAGTTAATACTTTATACCATTGCATTCTTTTAGCAAATTAGATGTTGAATAAACTGAAACAGAGTACTTCCTAGTACCAGTTATCTTGTCTCCTTTCTTTACATTAGGTTACATTAGGGTGACAAAGTAGTCAACTATGCCTACTCTTCATCAGTCATCAGTATTATTGGTAACTATGTAGTCTAATAGCAAAGGTATAAGTAAGCGCTCAAAGGTACACACAGGTGGCATGAAACAGTGAGCTTGGATATTCTCGAATCTTTCATTTCTGTAAAATTGAAGCGTTTAGGGAGACCTGAGCGCTCTCTCACTTATCACCAGAAGATTTAGCAGACTCTGGCTATAGAGCCCCCAGAAGCTGTGGTTTCCTGCATGATCTCTGGTGGTACCTTGCTCTCTGCAAGGTTGATATGTTTATGCTCCAGGCACACTGAAAAAGCTTCACCATCATTGGCTACCTCTGGGACATTTAGAACATTTTTCCTCTCTATTTATCAGAACTCAGACTTTCCATCCTTTCTATTCTGAATCTGCCTAAGGTTACATGCTGTAAGTTGTCTAGATTTATGTTTTTCCATTTTAGGGGAAATAATTGAGTTTTCTGGCTTAACAGTTTTTCTCCAGCCATTTCTCCTGGGTACCAGGATGAATGAAAATCATGAAATTAAAGGAAGTTGTTATATCACCAAGAGATTAAACTCTTCTACATGATTTTATTGCTATGACTTGAAAAGAAGAATGTGTTACTGGCCAAGAAGCATGTATTACTTATTAGAAGTACAATCTGAATTTCTCCTTTTCCTAATTGGACTCTGTATGCTATTGTAAGGGTGTTTAAGATGCTCATTAATTGGACAAAGTGATGCTTGCCCACTCCTTAAGCATAGGTTCCTGAGCCTTATTGAACTCATGGTCGCATGTCTGTGTGATGCAGGTAGCACTGCTGTAGATGGCATTCTGGACTCTAGAGAGAAGGTATCAGCAAACTTTTTCTGTAAAGGATCAGATAAAATATATTTTCAATCGGATACAGCCTCTGTGGGATATCTGTGGGAAATCAGCAACTCAGCAGTTGTAGCTTGAGAGCAGCCACAGAGAATATGTAAACCAATGAATGAGGCTGTGTTTCAATAAGACTTTATTTATAAACACATAATGGGCCAGATTTGGCCTGTGGGCCATAGAGGCATAAAACAGATTAGAGAGTTGGCTAGAACCTTATCCCAGCTTCTTCTATTTCCCCTGGGCCCCAAGTAGAAAATTATAACCGGATAGATCACAAAGTATGGGAAACTGCTTTCTATTATTCTAATAAATATAGAAGTCGTAGTCATAAGAAGCAGGAGCCTTCTTTGGGGACCTGTGAACTTGTCATTCTTTGTCCTGGAGTGCTCTTCCCCGCGGAGCAACATGGCTTGTATCCTTCCTCCCTCAAGTTCTTGCGGCAGTATCTCCTTTGCATTGAGGTCCTGAACACTAAAGTTAAAATTATCACTACCTCTCTCCCCGCAACTACCCCATCACTCCCTTAATTACTTTATTTTTCTCTTTGGGGCGCATATGCTAGATGATTTATTTTATGTACACTCCGTGGGGATAGTCATCTGTGTTGGTTTTTGTTTACTGTGATATCCTCAGCAGCTAGAATGTAGCCTGACACGTGGCAGATGCTCTTAGTATTTGTTGTTGAATGAAATCAGTGAAAAAACAAGCATTAGATATATTTTTTCTTTAAATTTTTTAAAAACAGGCAGTTTTTTTATGTATAGGGATTTTTTAGTAACTGAACTCCAACACAGTATTGGTTGAAAATTTGCAGGTGCATTGATAATGCTGGTATATGTTAACATTGCAGTGGAGTCTCAGTGTTCTTTTTATGATTCTGTTTCCCTCTTAAAAACATGTGTTTTTTCAAAACACAGTTTATAAAAACAAAGAGCCACACTCAGTTATCCTTCTCCAAATAGTGTTTGGACCTGTCCTCAGTCATGAGGGACATTAAACAAAATAATCACATTTATAATCTGGATTTACTTCATGTGACTCTTTGCTTTTGCAATGGAAATGCCAGTCCTGAATCAATGTAGAGTATGTGAAAACTGCCTAATATTTAGCAAGAGAGTAATTGTAACATCATGCAACTAAAGAAATACTAAAACATTTATAGTTGGGCTTAAAGTATGAACATTCACTTAGCTATTTGAATTATCTAATTATAACATAGCCTGATACTATCAATTTCAAAAATTGTATGGAAGGAACCTAATAAAATGTTGACCCTGGGTCTGTGATTAGTGTTTCAAACAGGTCAAGCAGATGAAAAACTTAATAAATGGTACTTGTTTAAAAAAAAGTAAAAACTCACTGGGTTTTGAAGATAAAAAAAAGCAAGGCTTTCTCCCTCCCTCTTCCTTACTGTAACTGATAAGCTGAAGCTCTTCACTCAATCTGACTGGATGCAAATCTGAAAGACCAGGTAGAATTTATTCCAGCATTTCTCAAATATGTAACTCAGAGGAAGCATCCTGCAAGTTACTGTGAAGAAAGGCGAATGTGGTGAATGTGCTTTACCCCTCCTAGGAGATGCACATGGTGAAATATCCAAGCATATCTGCAACAAAGGAACCTTTTTGACATTTTAACTTGCTGTTTTCTAAAGATATTTGTGTGTTCAGTAAAATGCATCACCGTTTTTGTAAAAATTGCGGTGTATCTCAAGGAATTCATATTTTACTTGAGAATATGTTTTGTGACTTTATTTCTTACTCAGCGGAACTCCTCTTTAACAAATTATTAACTTTTTCTCCATGGAGAGGCATCATATGGTAATCTGAGCCTAGAACAGCAGAAGCTGAATATGTGAGGCTAACTCAGCAATTCGGATATAGCATATGCTTAAGAATTTGTGGAGTAATACAAATATGTGCAAGATGTGTGTGTTTCTTATCTTTTTTGTGTCTTCCATTTAGGGCAGAAAAAAGGAAGCAAATAAATATAAAACCAAAATACCGAGTCTACTAACTGGTGCAGAAAAATCCTCAAGCGTACAGAATTGTGAAGTTACAGAGGGGTTTAGAAAACATTTCTTCCAAGATCTTCTAGGGAGAGGAATTAGCAGTTCATTTGGCCTTTGGAAAATGGATAAGATTTTAACTAGCACTTTTAGAAGAAATACTTTTCTGGCTAGAGGGAGTGAAAGGACCCTGACGTAGTTGATATCTGGAGGTACTGAAGTCTGTGAGATGGTAGCAGGGGTTGTTCAGGTTATTTTATTGGAGATGCGAGATTGGGCTCTAGAACCAGGAGGGAGAAACTGCCAGTGGATTGATTGCATGTTCAGGTTGAGCAGAGAACTGAAGAAAATGAAAAAGGCAATGGTCAAATACCAAGAAAAGATAAAATCCTGGTCAGGAGTTAGGATTCCGATCACCCAGAAGCCCTTTGGGAGATCAGGGCTTAGACTGTTGGTGCCTCTGTCAGTGACTGATTTTCCGGCTTGTGCCCAGCGTCTCCAAGGCTGCTTTCATTGAGCTATTCCTCACCCTGGTACACAAGTATGGGAGCACCTCAAGTTTCCTGGGAATGCTGACCTCTGGTTGGCCTTTCAGTGAAAAGCAAATGTAGTGGAAAGTTGACAAGTCTCTCTCTGACCAGGATGTAATGTACCAATCACTGTGTTGAACTTCAAGTTAAATCTTAAATCTTTGATAAAAAGTATCTAGTTGGTCATTTCTCAAATCACACATCCTTTGTAAAGACTGTGCCAAGCAAATAAAAAGCTTCAATATTTTATTTGTAGTTTGAGGAAACAGTTTCTGAGTTTTTGTGTTTAGCAAATAACATGACTAATTTCTTTCAGTCTGCTTAGTGGCAGAGAAATGAATGTGAGGGTGTTGGAATCAGACAAACTGAAATTAGAGTTGTAAGCCTTCTGTTGGTCATTGGCTATGTATCCTAGGACCTTCATTTCCCACATGAAAGTATAGGGTCAAGACTTCCTCTGTGGGATCGATTGGAAAAGTAGATAACATTGGGC